TCGGCGTCGGAGGGTCCGTTTGGTTGACGACGAGGGTCGTCGGCGACGTCGCCGATTCCAACACGATCCCGGGAATCGCGGTTGCGACGACTCCGGTCGATGTGGACGTTGACGCCGACGCCGACGCTCCGGACGGAGGCCGGGGAGGTGGAGGCAGCTCTGGCATGCTCGACGCGTGGGAAGGAGCACAATTTTGAATGCATCTCAACGGCTCGCGGTCTCTTGCCTGCATTAACCTACGAACAGAAGATTTATGATAGCTAATTGGACTGATATGGTTGCTTAGATTGTCTCATTAGTCGTGTTGCAATGCAATTACAGCTGGAGATTGCATGATTAGATAATTACTTTCGTGGAGAAATTTGTATTTTAAAATAATATGTATATGATGGGTCATTTTATGCAGGGTGCGTAATTTGAGAGACAGGTGGATTCGTTAGGAAAAGAATGGATGCAATGATAGATGATGGAAGATAAGGCAGAGCACCGCCTACCGATTGGCAACCCATCATGCATATCTAAACGTCTGTTTTCTTTTCAACTTTTTAGAAACATTTAGATAAATTATAAACCAATTGAATACAATAAATTGGAATTTCATTATTTAGTTGTACAATTGCTTGAAACATGGTAAATAATATGCAGATAGAAATGTTTGTGTTTCAAAGTTAATAGTAATGGCAGAATTGCATGTTGATTCATAGAGAAATTAGGTTGTCGAAAAATTAATTTACCTTCCCAATTCGTTGCGGCTTTCCTCTGGATGTGAACTACGTTCCTGTAGGAGTCTCTCAAGATTCCTCTCGAGCAACACTCGGTCAAGGCCACTCGGTTTGGAACCGCTTGAAGGGAATCCTTCAGTAGGGAATTCAGGACTCAAAGTGCTTTGCGTAGGTGTTGTCGCTAGGGAAGCAGACGTTTGATGATGCTTCCTATTCATTCGAGGTGAGTTACGAGGTGAACAGAGGGTGTGTCTGGATCCAGGCGGTGGTGGAGGCGGCGGAGGTGGTGGTGGGCTAGAGGAACCTTCGCTTGGTGGCGGTGGTCTCCGACCAGTTCTGTAAATCAGGTCAATTTCAAAGTGAATTTAAGCAATTAAATTTTATCTTGTTAGAATGTTGTTTCTAAAGAGATAATATACGAACGAAATGAAAAATTGCCAATGTAGAAAATATTACTATTAATAATTATATTATTATTAATAATATTATTATTAATAATGTTCTTTAATTATTATTTAAAATGACAATTTTCATAGAAAGAAAAACTCTTGAATCTTCAAGTTTCGTTTGACTGTTTTATCTTACCGGAATACCGTAAATAATATAAACTTAATAACATATATACTAAAGTTGAGTTCTACGTTATTAAAACATAAATCATATATAAATACATATTCAGAATTATTGACCTTTAACCAACAAATAAGTATAGCGACTAAATTAAACTCAATGTATGTAAGCTTTTATAATTACACTTCCTTCTTAAAAATTCTTCATTCCTTTCTTAACTACATGAGAGTCAGAACAATGTCTACCTAAGAAAGGAAGGTGGTGGTGGCGGTCCAGCAGAAGAATCGCTCGGTGTTGTCGGGGGTTCTCCCTTGCTACAGGCTATGCTGCAATAAATAGCACCTCTTCGCGGAAGAAACGGCCGTCCGAGAAGGGACGTACGGCAAGTTGCGCAACAGAAGCAAGCTTCAGTCGCGTGCCAGTGTTGACCCTCGTGTGACATTTGCCCTTGATCCACGCCGATCGGTTCACCACAGCTGTCACAGTACTCGGCGAACGAAGCATCGAAACATCGGAGACAGTAAGGTCTACCTTCCCTCATCACGTACCTCTGACCACCAAGCTAAAATCAAAATTTTATAAAGATCATTGTGTAAGGAAAGTTTGATTTGTGACTTTATTTGAACACTTCATATGATAGAATTTATATAATTTTTAGAATGGTTAGTAGGGGAAAAATAGATGAATAATGGCAATCTTCTTTACAATCACCTTGATTAATAATCAACGGAATTCAGTTCAGTCTATAATGTCTATGTATATCTGTATTTCTATGTATGTCTATTCGATCATATCTTACGTTCATCCAATATAACCTAAAATTTCAATAAAACAAAAAATCAAATCTATTACTGTCATAAGGACTCATCAATAGTAGAATAAATCGATTTTCCGAATCAGGAGCATTCAATGTCATCCATCGTCCCATTCATCAATCGGATCGCCTGCAAAGGTCACTTTTATCATCACGCAGATTCTGTTCATCCCATTAATCCACTCCATGGGCCAATGCATTGTTACAAACGTGCACTTTGTCTCGGATTATCGGAAGATCCCCAGAGAGCGGAAACGCCGACATACGGCTCCCGATCGTAATCCAGATTCCATCGTTTATTATCGAGCTGGTTCGGCCGATAAGAAGCTTTGTCCAGCATATAGCCGACTGTTCGTGACATTTATCGACACCTACATTCAATGAATTATCGCGTTGCATGCCGTGGACAGTCGTCACGGGAATATAAAGGGGACAGGACTGAGGCTGACAGTTAAATCGTCCCAACGCTCCGGACTAAATGACTCTCGACGGACGTGCTCGTCTGGCGTAAATAATTGTCACGCCGCAAAAAGCACCAACAAACAAACCTGCTGCCCTCTGTATCGCCCGATACAACTACGAATACTGCTATTAGACCTTTTTTGTCGAATTACTCTAGGGTACACCATCTGTGTTTCTTTTCCAATGCTTTTACTAAATGTACAGTGACTACGGAAAGTATTTGCATACTCTCTTATTTTTCAGTAAAGCGCTTTTGATCAGCACCCTTTTGCATAATTAAACTAATAAATTATAATATATAATATTATGGTAATAAATATTTTATCACAATAGTTTAGCAATAAACCTTCATAAGCAATTTTTACAAATTCAAAATTAATTTTCTCCATTCTGATTACCTTATTTAACAAAAACTTATGTAATTGTAAGCGAGAACTTTATAACATAGAATTTTTAACTTGTCAATTTACCAAATTAATATACAACAAGACTCAGATTCTATATTTCATTTTCACAGTCTCCAATTTTTATTGTATTTTATTAAAGATACCTAATTAATTAGTATGTAACTCCTATAATAAATACAACAATGTGCGAATACTTTCTGTAGCCATTGTATTTGTGCATTGTTGGTGTATTCGGTAAAATACTAGTTTCTTTATAATTAATACATTCTCGATGATAAGGTTACATTATGTACGGCTATTAAGTGCGATTTGATCTGACGGTGAGGAATTAAGTAGGCGCGTGTGTATTGGTCGACAGGGAATCTCGATTAATCGTCACGATAAGTGAGAGAAGTTGATCCGCGTCGGATGCAGATCAAAGGAACGATGATAAATTGTGAACCCAAGTTTGTCTTTTTTGATTACGTTAGCGTTCCGTGCTAACCTTTTCGATTTATTTTCAATAAGAAGCTATTTTTAGATATTCCTTTTTGGTTATTTGATAACCATAACTTTGAGCCAAAGTTATGATTCTAATAAAAAATCAAATAAAAATAAGAAATGCTAATTGATAAATGATACAGAAAAGTAGAAATGAAGTTGATCATCTCGTAGTTTGTACATGAAGTGACCGGTGTTTGAACAGTGACGTTGAAATGCAGATGTTCGTTTTTATACATATATATACATAATTCATGACTTTCGCTTAGTATTCATGAAGAGTCAGTAACATCAATGACTCTGTACTTGAAGCTTCTGAACCGAAAGAAAATCACATAACTGACCTTAAATAGCAAGAAACGTCCAATAGGTCTCAATCTATTTCCATACTCTTATCCTATTATTGTAATCTGGGTAACTATTCGCATAAATAATCCACTAATAAATACTCATCACCAATTATAAAAAATTCCTACCTGTATTATATCCCAAATACAACAATGATCTCGAACATCCTTGAGCATAAATCTATATATATCTAACTGCGTATATTAATATATGTCGCATTATGAGTCGTACTAAGCTGATTAGAACTGAAGATCTGATTAGATCTTAACTCGTCCGAATCTAACTTGCGATATAAACACATCTATCATCAAGTATCTAGACACAACATAAAACTACGAAAAGAAACGAATTTCGGTAAACCTACTCCAGATCCTAAACATGACCTTGTATCGTTAAAACTCTCTTAGCTATTCTAAATCTTTCAGTGAAAGGAAAATGTTAATCGATTCCTTCTACCCACGTCTTCCCGTACCATCCAAAAAAGGGTCAGCCATTAAAACCAACATTCACCCACCATATATTAAACTATCTTCCTACTCGTTCGACCTTTACCTGGCGATCGCATTCGAGGCACGCGAAGTGCCTCATATGCCACGCCCTCCCCTCCGCCTCGGTGCATTCGTCGGCAAGTATGATCTCGTCGCAGGCGCAGCACCTCGGTTTCAGCGTTTCCGCGTGATGCCGGCCGCAGTATAACCTGCCGTCCCTCCAGAAGTATATCAGGTCGACGAGCAGCTGCCTGCACACGCAGCAGACGAAGCAGGCCGGATGCCAGAGGGCGGACGGACCGGCGCGGCTCCACCGCCATCTCGCCGGCCGCGATCGGCCTGGTACATTCGCGGCATCCGGCGCCGTGGGGCCTGTCCAGCTGGCTCGCGTGTCCCCGTCCAAGCGCCTCGCGTTTCCGTTGCGCGGCAAATACCCTAAGCTCCCGCTTCTCCTCCTCGCTCAGGCCGCTGCAGTACCGCGCTTCGTTGTCGTGCGGTGGGAGCTGCTGTAGCAGCTGCTTAACTCGCTCCCGCTCGCCGGCGCTGCCCGCGTACGGGATCTTGTCTTCCGGTAGCGCGCTGAAGTACAGGTGTACCTGCGACACATGGCGCGAGGGAATGGTAATTAAGAGCGATTGGGGCAGACGTGTTGTGAGATATTGAGATTTTACGCGTATCTTGATAAATGGTTTGATTGGTTTAAAGGAGCAAATAGGTTAGAATATAGTGTATAGGGCAAAGGAGGCACGATGAATTGAGAATGAAAAATCTTTGAATGGAAAACTTCTTTCAGTAGATTTAGCGATTAATTTAGCTTGTCTTGATTGTTTGTCGATGTTATAATATCTTGATATGTAGATATATGGTTCGGTTGGTAAAGAGGTTAAGAAATGAAGAGGTTAGAATACAGAGTCTTGTGCAAAAGGAATAAGGTGAATTGGAAAGCTGGATGGAGAATTTCTTTCGGTAGATTTAGTGATTAATTTAGTTTCTTTTAGTTGTTTATTGATGCAATCAGTTTAAGTGCTCGGCTTTTTCGTATATTTGTTAGAAAATGAGGAGAACACTGTAAATTGTAAAGAAATGGAAGAACATCGTTTTGAAAGGTTAATAAGAGGTATGTTCTTTTTATGAAAGATGAAACATTATGTCCTATAATATTTGTTTCTTGTAATTGTTGTATGAATTTTATGTGTTTAACCAACGTGACATAATTTAAATTAATAATGATCCTTCTTTAGGAAAAGAACTGGAATTCAATTGATTAATGCACCTGTGGGATTGATCAATCAAGTTAGCTTCCATATCGATAACGTGATCAAGGAGTGTCAATCGATCGACGCCTCCTGGAAATGCTTTTTGATCAAACAGAACTTGATATGCTTCGATTTATTCGATATGCAATATCGAATATCTCTTTGATTTCTGTGACGGTGAATCTGATAAAGATGCACGCGCATAAATAATTTCGATGCTTGAGAATGATTGCTTCAAGAATTCGCCGTGTCCCACAATAAAAAGAAAGATAAACGAATACAACATGATTATGAAATTTCCTATATCGATTGTGAGGAAAATAAAAATAAAAGTTCGAATTACACAAGTAAATTTTTAATGGAAGGGTTAGCAAGTTTTACGAGATGAATCGAAGACCTTAAACGTTTTATGTATCGGCGATCACGATGGTCGATATTCATCATTCATGAATAATTCAGAAATGAAATGCTTACAGTTACACGGGACACGTGACGGACTCCTCCCTTGGACAAAACACTGGAATGGGTCTGCAGTGTTTTATTTCGCTTACGGGATCGACGTTTGACCCGAATCTTTTCTCATTTATATTTCGTTTCTACTTCTAATGTTTTTATTATGTAAATAACTAATTGTAAGTAGGAGAAAAGAAGAATAATAATATAGTAGCAAGTATTTGCGTATTTGCGTTTGGAGAAGAATTGAATTGTAAAAGTTCTCGATATCCTAATCTCGCGAATTCAACATTTTCCAAACGAAACGTTGTATCTTTCAGATAACCTTAATACTCTTGAATAATATGTAAAACTGTTAAAGTTTCTCAAAATTCTAGGCGTCGCGGGTATCCTCTTTGTAACTGTCTCGATAAATCCTACGGAGAGAAAGTCAACCTTTATGTAAATCTAAAGTCACCACGTATGGCGCATGGAGTATCAAGGTGCGCCCATATAGCTAAGTTCTGTATGAGTTTTGTAACGTTCAAATCTTTGGGCGACCTTTTTAAAATTCTTTTGTTTCGTGAGCATAAAATTCTCTTGTCATGATGTTCGTTATTTGGAATTGATATTCCACTTGAGATTTGTATTTTAATTATTTTCAAGAATATTTCAATTACCTAGGCTTTTAGAAATTAAAAATTACAAAACTTAAAGAGAGTGAAAATTAAAAATTAAGAAATTCTAAACAAAATCTAATCGCTTAGAACACATATGTATGTGTATGTAAAGTATTGCAATGTGTAAATTATGCGACATACAGGGTGTCCCGATGTTTTGCGGCGAAATGTCAGTACATTCTATAGGTCAAAGTAAGAAAAATGTGTCATATAAATACACACATCTAGCAATGGTCAGAAGGTATCATAATACTTCTACAACTCCAACTACAATTCTATTTCAAAATATTCATGATTTCGGCAAAAAATTACTTTTCCAAGTTCTTGTTTATTACTGGTTGAAGTTGGAAAACGAAGAATTTCGTATATCATTTTGTTTTTCTTTTGTTACAATTCTTTGACAGTGCTTTCAATGACATATGTTTGCATGATATTTTGTTCTTATCTTGACATATAGGACGTACTGACAATGTTTGGCCGCAAATAACTCAGACATTGTATGTAAAAGATTGTACACAATAATTATCTTTATAGGTAGTGGAAATACAGATCACATCATGAACATCATGGTCACATTACCGCAAATCTAATTTCTGTAACTTAACCTAAAAAAAAATGGACATTTCAACCACCACATACAAGAATATATAATCGATAAATATCATTAGATATATCTTGAGTTAAAAATAAACTCTAACGGCCAGAGTACAAAGATAAAATCGAGGGACCATAGTTATGTCAGTATTCTAAGCATGTCGAATAAGTTATTTTCTTACTTGATCTGGCCTGAGGCCTGGCGGGACCCACGTGTACTCTTCGAGCGCGCATCCGCTGTCATCGTCGCTCTGCGAGTGCCTCTGATGATGCATCAGAGCCTCTTGAAGGGCGAGGCCTGGCGGAGCCGGTTGCACGGGACTCTTGAAAGGTTCCTGGTGAGAAGAACCAGCGGCCCCGCTCTGAAAAGCCATGGCCATGGCCATCGGCGGACCAGGACCGAGGCCGAGTCC